CATTCCATCCAAACAGCCCAGTAAAATCAGCACGCCAACCCCCAGCTTCCCACATAGCAAGGAATGGCCTAGACTTCTGTCCTCTCCATGTTGTAAAGAGGCTCTCCTACCCCCTGCCTGGATGGCATCAGAGAAGATTTACTAGGAAGCTAGACTCTTATTCCCATTGCATGATCATAAGGCACCCTTCTCTCTTCTCACTGGGGTGATGTCAGAGGAGGCCTAGTGGAGAAGAGGTAGGACTTTCAAGGGTAAGGAGCCAGCAAACACTGGGTGTCAGTGGAAGCCATGTGAAAAAAATAGTAAGGGACTCCTGTCCTCCTCAGCCTGGGTGGTATCAACAGCAACCCCGTGGGGAATGCAGACCACTAAAATGAAAATTTAGGAGGACTTCCAATTTGTAGGGTGGATACTTAAAAAACAAATATAACCTCCGGCTAAATACGGTATCGCATATTTATAAATATGAAAAAGACAAAAGGATCTCTTATATCATTCCCTAAGCAGTGCTGATGTTTGTTCTGTTCCTTGTAAGCATAGATTTAGCTGACTGTGCCTTTTCTCCTCTTCTACCAGTTGTTGAGTATATCCATTTAAAGCCACATCACTGATGATGACCACAGGCCCTACCTGCAGGTATTGCCCAGATTCTTGCTATTTCCTTAACTTGCTCTGACCCATTCCTTCAGAACAGATTTACTGTCATGAAAGTGAGGCTAATTGGAAAGAGTATCTTCACTCTTGGTCCCAAGATCCAATCTGTGAAATATAAACAATAGTGAGATAATTCGATCTCTTCTGTTGTCTGTGACATCTGTTTCCAGATGGCGAAAATTGCATGTGAGTAGATTGTTGTAAAGTTGAAAATGCCATTATACATTTCCAAAACTTTTCAGGACTAGTTCATTTTAGGTTAAGGAATTTTTAGATTTTGACTTTGGCATCATGTCCGTCAAAGACTGCTGTCAAAAGCAATTAGTTTGTATTTAGCCTATTTGTCATTATTATAGTTCTAAGGCCCTCAAAACCAGCATTTGTGTTGATAAAATGGAATTAACAAATATAGCATAATCTAAGGGAAAAACCTCATTGGGAAATATACAAGGCTCTGAAATCCCTGGTTCAAGTTCCCCCAAGTGTTCTCGACAAGATTCAAGGTCCTGACATCTATGGAAAAGTCACGCAAAATTCAGAGCACAGCAGCCAGAGCCATTAGCAAGTTATGGTCCCTGCAGCAGGAGATATGACTAACGCATCTGCAGAGCCACCAGGGTAATATATCCACATTTGCAAATCAAAATGGTAAGAAGATAACATCAAAATCAGAAGCTCCTATGAGAATCTAATGCCTAATGATCTGAGAGGGATCTGAGGCCAAGATGTGTAATGGCCTGCTGAAATGTGAAAGGGTTAAAGAATAATTAAAACCTGAAACTGGAAAAAGGAAGTCTATACCTTAGGCCTAGTTTCTGGAACCCCTAACCACATTCTGTTAATCATGAAACTTGTAACAATGAGCTCATACGCTAACTGCCAATTTTAGCCTGTGTAACCCTGCTTGCTTGCGTGGCATGAAAAATAATCAATTGTATATAAGCTGAAAATTACTGTTTGGCCATCGCCCATGGGAACACTGGCTATTGCCCATGGGAACATTGGCAATCGCCCGTAGGAACATAACATTCTAACAACAAGCTTTCTGCTTCTGTACTCCCCGCTTGCACACCTGACCAGTGGATTGACAGGTAGTGAATAGAAGAAAGATGGACCTTTATGTTTAAGACAGAATGAGGAATGGGATTTGGGGCTTAAAAACCTTGTATCTTGGCAATTCGGGGCTGCTCCTTTGCAAGGACAGCGGCCGGCTAATAAACCATCTCCTGGTTAAGAGCACTCAAGTTGGGTCTGGTTATTCTGGTCACAACAGATGCTAGTGCTGGGGAGCAGCTGCAAATACAGATGAAGCTTTGTTCACTAGCCCGCTGTTCACCTCTGGCTGTGCATCCCGGTTCCTAACAGGGATTGGGGACTCTTGGTCTAACTGCTGTCCATGCTCACTCTATAGGTCATCATCTTAATTAGATTTGTTTACCTTTCTAGTGTTTTTTTTAATACTAATGCAAACAATAAAAAAGTGTTTATATACAGACATTTTTAGGCACAAATATAAAATATTTCTAACATAAAGGTAGAAAACCACTCACTGTATACACTGCAACTTGCTTTTTTTAATGTAGCAATAAATCCTGGAGCTCTTTCCACATTATACAGAAGAGCTTCCTTATTCTTTATTCAAATGTTTATTATTTGATGGTTTATCCAGTTACTTATAGACAGATCTGTTGATTGTTTCTCATTTCAATTCTGAATATTGACTCCAGTGAATGACTTTGTATATATTTCACTTCATTTAAGTGTGGAATTATTGGTAGAATAGACATGCAGAAGAATCCGTAATGTGGGTAGAAATAATCAGATTCTCCACTTTCGATGTTGAAACACTTTAGATTTCCCTTAACAACACAAAACTGTGTTCATTCCCTAACTTTGCCAGTAGAATGTACTCTCAAACTTGTGAACTTTTGCCAAAGCTGAAAGACTAGAAATGATTTCTCAGTGTACTTTCAATTGCATTTTTCTTATGATTAAAGCAGAGTAACTTTTCATATGTTTAAACATTATTTTATTTCTTTTCTGTGACTTGCTTGTTTATATTCTTTGTCATCATCCCCTTAAGGTCTCCTTATATATTGGAGAGATTCCTATTTGTGACATTAGCTACAAGTATTTTTCTCAGTTTGGCGTTTTCAAAGAATTTTGGTCTTAGTATTTTTTTGGCCGAAAATAAAGAGTTTAAATTTTTTTTTTTATGTAGTCACATTTAACATTATTTTTATTGATTTATGTCATCTGGTTTGAGTCACATTTAGAAAGGCCCTCCTCTTTATCAGTTTATGAAGAACATACACTTGGTGCCCTCAAATGAATTTTAATAGTTTTTACATTTTGATTTTTTTAAATCAATTTGAGTTTTTTCTACTGTATTACATGAAATCTGGGTTCATCTTGACTTTTTCCAAATGATCATTCATTTGTCTCAATCTAGAAGAAGTTTATTTTTAACCTATATAATTCTCTGCAATCTATTTCTTTGGACTTTCTATTCCATTGATGATCAATTTATTCAAGAATCAATACCGTACTTTCTTCACTTATTTTCTGGAATTTTTCTTTGTCTACTTTTTTGTGTGAATTCTTTTAGACTGTTTTTAAACTATGCTCTCTATTTTAATTGCTGTAGCCTTCAACCTTAAATTTTGGCATATTTTTCACTATGTCCGTTTTCCTAAGTACAACTAGAAAGAGAATATCACAAGATGATTATGAATGTGGGGGGTCTAGTGTCAAAATATCTTCTATGGCATTGTCCTTAAACAATTTATTTAATTCCAAGTCTTAATTTTCTTAACTTCACAATGACGAGAACAACAATAACTTTAGTAATAATAGTAATAAATTATATTAATAATATTGTTAATAATTCATAATTTTTATAAGCAGTGAATATATTATTAAAGTCCTCATAACTGGCACATAATAGACCCTGAATAACTATTAGCTAGTATTAATAACTTGATAATGTTAATTAATATAGAAGTTATATTAGCTATCTATTGCCGCTATAACAAATTAGGACAAACAGTAGCTTAAAACAACTTAAAGTTATTTTACAGTTCTGAAAGTCAGAAATCTCACAGGATTAAAATCAAGGTGTTAGCAGGGCTGCCATCCTTGTGGAAGCTCTAGAGGAGGATCTGTTTCTTTGCCTTTTCATTGCATTTAAAACTTAATTAGTTGACCTCACAAAGGAACACTGTAAAGGTCAAGAACTGTAGTCTAGCTCCTGGTAGCTTCAAGAAACTGTCAATGTTCACCTTAAAGTTTTTTTTGTTTTTTTTTTTGTCATTTTGTACCCAATGACCACCTCATATGAGATTCATATGAGATCAAAATATTTGGGGATGAGTGTGAGCCAGGAATGCTGGTAGGGAAGAATGTGAGCATTGGTTGAAAGATGCACCTCTGTCCATTCTAACAGGAAGGAGAAAGCCCCACTCCCCACCTTTTTTTCCCTGAAAATAGAAGTATTGGACTAGAAATCAAATGCTTTGTAATAAAGTCCAAGCTTGGAAACTTAGATAAAGTGACTTAATTTTGCTTAGTTTCAAGGGTTTTTTTTTTTTAAATCTCTGTAAAAGAGGTAGTAATTAATATTTAATTTGAAGATAGTGTTATTGTTTTCAACTATGACATTTCCTTGGATGTTAAAATGCATTTTATTTTATCTTTTATTATATGGCTTGCAAAGGCAATTATAGACTATTGTTAGGCAAATACTCAGCCATATGTGCTGTGGTATTTGGTACCTTCTGAAGTTCAGTCCAAATCTAGAAATAGAACTGAGTAGCACCAGGCCCTAACTGATATGGGAAGTTTGGCATAATTAAAGTCTATGAAGAACAGAAAAAAGGACATAAGTTAAAATGTATTTGCTTTTCTTCTGTAAATAAGTAAATCACATTTTGAGCAACTTGAAAAGTTTAAACTACTATAGTATAACCAAACTGAGAAATTCCTTATATAAATAAACAATTTAAGGGAACAAAATAGAGCTTTGTGTAATGTTTCTATAATTTTCGAAACTTATTCTACTGGAGATAAAAAAAGAAATGAAACACAAATAAAAATATGTAATAAAATTTATTTTATTTTCAGGCTTAAAATAATTCATAATCTCCTTAGGGAAATTCAGAAGGCTTCCCTAAAGACTTTTAACTATTGGAGAAAATAAAGAGTTATTTTAAAATTTTTAATGGTTATTTATGGTTAAAAATATTTACAAACATATATTCACACAATTCATAGTTTTAAAGAAAAATTAATAGGCTTTCATAAATAATTGCAAAGAATTAAAATTGTTTAACTTTTTAGCACTATAAGTAAGCATAAAATTAAATGAGCCACATTAGATTTTCTGACACATTATCTAGTATTTCTTTTACTATTTATTTATAGACTCTAAAGAATTATAAAGATAAAACACACAGTTATTAAATTCCATATAAATTGCTTAATGATATTAAAATGTCTTATTTAAGTTATGCCCTTGGTAAGGGTAGCAAAAAGGAAAATGTTTTTTTATCCCTTCGGCCTAAGACACACTTTCCATGGTGGTAGTTCCTTCCATCTTCTGGAACACCTCTCTTTCATACATTATTATTCATTTCCAGTTTGGGATCTCTCTAAGCAAACTGTCTGCTGACCATGACCAGGAGTCACAGCCTCCACCCAGGTGGGAACCGTACATTGTCTCCTCTAAGAAGCTAGGTTAGTCGTCTTTCGCATTGGTGAACCCCTCTGATGGCATCCAGCACATGACCACTTGTCAGGAGTGATGCCCACCTGAGTTCAAGACTTTGGTCTCACTTGACTTAGCCCATTGAGAATCACACCCCCTATGTCACTTCTAATCCCCTTCTGAGACAAATATGGAAAACTAGAGAGGTACAAGAGAAAGTTTCCCCTGAGAGAGCCAGCCCAATATCTGTACCAAATAAAAGCAGTGATCAAATGTCCCTTATTACACAACCCACAATCTTTTCAAGGAAGTAATCATCATTTAAACTATTAAAATGTACATTTTACCAATTATAAGCATCATAATTTTATAACAAAAGTTTGATATAATTATTATGCAGTTTATTCAAATGGTAATTGTCCTGAGTTCTCTAGTTTCTTGTTTCATTCTGTCTTCAGTGAAAGTGAACACAAAAAAGAAATTCTGGTGTTTAGCTTTAGAGTAAGATGCATATATTATCTGGTGGGTCTACCCACTGGAGCTGCTGAAGCTCATTCTGAAGCCTTCTTATTTCAGCCTGTATCCTCTTCTGCTGTGCAGCTTCTTCTTAAAGAGTGATAAATAGAACTATAGAGCTTAGCACAAAGTGATGTCCAGATCATTGAGAGGGGCGGGGATAAGCTGAAATCACTGACTTTCCTTACTTATTTTAAGCCATCAGTAACCAAAGACAGTTCCTGAATTGTCTTTTCTATTCACATCCATTTTACTTCTCATTCTTGGTTTCCTACTTGAGTGATTCTTTTCCTATATCTCTTTCTATAGGCATAGAAACATCACCATTTCTCAGTCCCTGAAATATTTGCATCTTAAGAATTACATTCTGAGTTTTCTTCCTCTTTCCTCTTCGAGTGATCTGAGTCACATCTTGACTTCAATTTTTCATTTATACGCAGAATAATGTCAGATCTAGTTCTACGAGGAGAGGTCAATAAGACAACTGATGTCTAGGTGACATCCAAAATCAGGCAAGGAGTCTGAGCCTTAGATCAGGGAATTTGTTTTAGGTCTCCACAGTTATGAGGCAGAAGTAGAAAGAGCAAGATCAAAAACCCCAGGCTGACCCTATTTCCCTTCAGTGTAGGGCTGTAATCCCAAAAATGTCTTGGAACACTGCCTGCAAAATTAGGACTTACAGGTAGGCTGGTCACCCTGGGGGAAGGGGAGGGTGCCCTTTGTCTCATAAGGGTGCTCACATAAGAACTTAATACTAGGTTAGCAGAAATAAAAGCATTGCAAAGCCCACTCACTGCAAAGGCAATTTTGTTAACTTATTAGGTTGTGTGATATTGGCATATAGTTATCTCTTTGGAACCTAACTTTTAAAATCGGAAAAAGGGAGACATAATGGTTCTACCACACAGCGAACAGATCAGATGAGAGAATGATGTAAAGTACTTTATACAGTGCTTGGCAAATAGAAACTACTGCTTATTGAGTGATAATAAAGGACTGGGTGAGATGAGCTCTGCAAGTTAAAGGCCTTCTGAACCAGTGACGATTAAGGCAAGGATAAGGAATAGACACAGTAATATGAAATTAATGTAACAAGGTAATCTATGACTAAAGATAAAGACTGTTTATAGCAACTAATAAAATAATAAAAAAGGCTAATTACTGTGGGTTAGAAATGTCCTTGGATTTTCTTTAACAAATTATAGTGCTAATTCTGCGCTAAGCACCTAAACACAAATATTCTAAACACATTCTAAACACAAATATTGCCTCATTTAATTATTAAAATAACCCCAAAATAGTATTATTACCATCTCCATTTTCCACAAGTGGAAACTAAGACACAAAGGGATGAGTTAACTTGCCTAAACCTTATATTTAGTAATATGTAGAGCTGAGATTCTTACCCAGGCTCTCTGACTCCAGAGTCCTAGCCCTGAGACAGAATATGCTGCCTCTCCCTCTTTGTTATTGCTTCATGCTCTTATCAATACAGAGAGGGGAGGTGTGATTAAAATCCTGAGATGAAATAATAGATGAATACCTGGAGTCGACGATCCAAGTCCCTTTGTTGCTGTGCCAAAAAGTTGGCTCTGTATATCTCCATTTGTCTCACTTGTTCTTGATGGAGTCTCTCCCTCTGCTGCATCATTTGCTCGTTCTGCCTTTGAATCTCCTTCAACCTTTGTGCTTCAGCCTTTGCAGCCTCTGCTTTTATACTTGCTTCTGAGAAGAAAATGACGAACCTCTCTAGAATTAAAGTGCCCCTTCTTTCTGCCTCTTCCTCTTATTTGTTTTTGCTACTTCATCGAGAAAATTCCCTGTGGCCATTTTTCCCTTTCCGCTGACTGTACATGCCCTACTCAGTTAAAGCCTGAGGAGCTAGGAATCATCCTTGCCATTCTTGCTCCAGTCTAATGATCCCAGGTGAACCAAGCCAAATCAATTTAAAATGTGTAGAAATTTCTTTCTTGTACCTATTCTATTTTCTTCTCACCTTCCATCTCCTTTTCCCTCGCTGTGAGAGCCAAGTCTGTCTGTAGAATGGTATTACTCACAGACTCCTTGGACTGTAAAATTTCTGCAGAGTTTCTTCAGCCTAGGAACCCCAAAAACATACAATTATAAGTGGGAAATGGTGATTAGGAATGTTGTAAACCTCTTTACTTCTTTTTCTTCCCAGCATCTTTTTCTCCCTGGAAGTGCTCAGCCAGCACTTAATGGAATGGTCAATCAAGCCTCTTCTGTAACAGGGGTGGGCACAGTCTCTGGGATGGCCAATCAGAGCACCCAAGGCCACTAGATACAAAGGATTTTGGTATAGGTGAGAAAATACTCAACTTGGGTGTTTAAAGAATGATGCTGATGCTGGGGAAAACGTGTTCTCTCCCTTGAGATTGAGGACAAATGATCTAGTTAAGCTTGGGGGTGTTGGTGTCATCTTTGTTGCTATGTGGGGTGAGCTTGCCTGAGAATGAAGGCAATAGTGAGGAAAACGGAACAGAAAATTAAGTGGAGGCTGGAAAGAAAGAAGGGTGGAGGAAATTGATGACATTGTTTAAACTGAACTTAGCTGTAGTTGCAACTAAATTTAAATGTTTCATGTAAGACAATGAATTATTGTTTGTCCTTAATGTTAGTTTCTATTATTGGAATGCTGTCCTATGTAACCAAAAAAAGTCCCTTTGTTGCAATGAATATTGATGGTTGCAATAAAAGTTTGGTGATTATGGTGATAGTTCAATTTACTTTCACAGTCATCATTAGAGTATAAATACTTTCTTCCTATCTTTACTAGATTTTGAAAGAAGGCCTCCCAACAATTTCTTGCAATAAATACATAAAACTAGGGATACCTGTATTCCTTTCCTGGGCTCCTGATAGTACTTTGCCTTCAGCTCTTCTGTTTTTTGAATGAAGAGACGGTGCCCTCCTGGCTTTGAATAAATTCCCCTCTTGACATCTTCTTCTAGAGGACCAAAAATATTCTGAAGTAAAGCGGAGCAATAATCTGATGATACCTCCAAATTCTGTTTACAAAGATCATCCCGTTTTGCTTTTAGTAGGGTCTTCAAAGGAACCAAGAGCGATAGAAAAGGTGTTAGCAACACTCTAGTATTTCTAAAAATTATTCTCAAAAAGAATCTCTGTATTTTTTCTAGAAATTAGAAGACTACAAACAAGACTATATCCTCCCTACCAAACCTAGAAAACTTCCAAGGATGATACACTGTAGAAAAGTAACTTTAGTTTTATATTTGAAATCTATCAAAATCTTTTTCTCTTGCTATTTCTGTTTTAGATGTGATCTTCAGACTACTGACCTCTGGTCTCATGCCCTAATTTAAAATGCAACCTTCTCTTTTATAACCATTCCTGGTTTCAGTATTATTCTGGATCTGGGGTTCCCAATAAGGAGATGAAATAGCATAATTGGCTAGAATGATATGAGTGTATGCTATTAAACCCAGAGACATAATCTTTTAGTAGATCTATTTGGCTATTCTGTATACTTGATTAATATAAAAGAAAAGTTAATAAATACTTTATGAATAAACTTTTTAAAGAATAAAATTTAATTTAAAAAAGTAGTCCATGGATGTAGCATGGTTGTGCATGTGTGAAAGTTTCAGAATCTATAGGACCCAGAGTAGTTACATGTTTTTTACTTGTTTGGTTGATTGTTTGTTTTCAGAATAATGGTGATATCTTAGTCACATAAGTGATAGTCATTATTGTCCAGTCTAGTAAGAATTGCTCCTCTTAAGTCTCCATTTTGCCTTTCTTTGCCTTTTAATGCCCATAAGCCTCATGAACTAGAGTAAAAAAAACAATTAATTACCTTCAATTCCTTCTGGAACCTTTGGTCCACATCCTTAAAAGAATTCTTCGTGAACACTTCAAAGGCCTCTATCTCACTGGCACTGTGCAGATCCAGAAGCTCCAGGAGGGTTTCTACAGGCAGCTGCACCTTCTGGCCCATCTGCTGGTCATAGTGGGCAATGGCTTTTTTGACTGCTGTTAAGTTCTTGGTCTGGGCCAAAGCCAAGACTGAATTCTCCACGCAGGGCAGATCTCCACTGCTGATGACATTGACATAAGTCAGCACTAGGCTCTCTAGATCTTCACAGGGGAAAAAGATGCTTATATTATTTGCAGAGAAAGAAGACATGCCCTAAACTGGGTAATTCTGAGAATGTTAGTTTAACAATGCATTGCCTGAGCTTTTTCAGGATTCTGCATAGTGTTCAAGTAATCTAAATAAGTTTCTTCGGGAAATTGCATGACCAAGAAGCCAGATCTTTCTTTCTTTTGGGGCGAGGGGGAAGTGTTCATGAGGGAAAACTCAAGATCTATGTGATCATCCACATTTCATTTTTTTTCTATTAAGAAATGAGGAAATGGTTATATAAAGTTATGTATATTCATTTGATTAGAATGCTATAGGCCTTTT